CATGGTCTAAACAATAAGGGAGAATCAAACATTTGCTTTTAAGTGTGTTACAGCAATTTTTATTGGCACCTCAAGGCAGATGACGCAGATCCAGTGCACATGCTTTGTCGCAGTGCTCTCTAACACACTACTGTTGTGTTGTTGTCTGTGTGAAAAAAAATGCTGCACGCACTATACTTTTTTGCCCATTCCATTCAATATGAACATTAATGCGATATACAAGAACGCTGAAATGTGAATGGGCTTCACACGACAATGATTCACAGAGTGTATTGTATTATAGCATTTATAGTTCTAGACTTTTCAGTCTTGGTTTTGCAAACATCTATTAAATCTGCGGTGCTTGCCCAGATATGGCATCACATTTTATAGACTGCTTACACTTCCTTGGACTTGCTCCTAGTTTCTAGGTATCTGTTGCTGTCATCTGTCACCTGCTGTACTTTTCAGTTTGTGTTCCAGAACACTAGTTCTGCTAGAGGCCTGGACCTTTAATATGCACTGTATGTTGTTGTCCACTTGGGCTCAGACACAATAGTTTAATGTCAGGATATGGTGACACACAAGCAGATGTGAACATAATCCACTTTAAAATGATGGGTGAACACCAACATTATTATTTATTTTTTCTTCCCAAAAATTGGAAAATATATTAATAGGTACAGTTATGCAAGTATAATCCCAGTTTAAACTTTCCCATCTAGCAGTTCTCAAGCAGATACATCTAAGCTAGCTTTTGGCCCAGACACAGCTTTGTAAATGTGCATAATTACTGCCCTCTGCAGTTGTTTGAAATGGACACCCACTACATCAGTAAAACCAATGTATGCTACCTGCTGCAGATTGAGAACAGGCGTCCCTCCATAATGACAGATTAGCCGAGGTATTGTATAAATAAAAGGACATACACAGAGGACAAATATGAGGTCTTACCAATTTGCATTGGACACCCGCCTATATTATCTGCATGGCTAACCATGCAGAAAATGACAAATAGTGTGTCCTGAAAAGTACTGCATCATGCATTTATTGCTGTCACTCCCCTTATTCAAAGGGCTGGGAATACCAAGTGCCTGGTTAACTCCCCCTGGTTTAACAATTAAAAAAGAAAAATAATTATTGTGGGTACAGAATTTATGCTGCTTTACCTTACACAAGACCCTGTAGTGATCTGCTCAGAGTCAATCCTGAAAACAACTAATGGAATAGCTTTTGCCCTGTGTATCTGGTTCCTTATAAATACAATTAGTAATGTGCTTTGAGGAACACAGGATTAGAAAATTGAAATGGGGGATTTAAACAACCATTTCTTCTAATATGCAGCTGCAAGGGGAATGGAAGACACTACGCAGAGCCTTTAAGAAGCTGGACATGGACAACAGTGGCTACTTATCTCTACCTGAGTTTAGGTCTGTGCTGAAGCTCTGCAACTTTGTTCTTGATGAAGATGAGGTTTATCACATCATGTCTGCATACGACCAGAATATGGATGGCCAGATCAACTACAAATCATTTTTAGAGCACACATGTAAGAAAGATAACTGTTCTATCTCTAGCACACCTCTGTCAAACACTGTGTAATGGTCATTTGATAAGCATCCATAAATAAGACAACCATGTGAATGACCAGCCAGGGTAACCTGTAGCTCTCCAGCTGTTGTAGAAATGCTTGTTTTGGCACAACTGTAGAAGAGCCATTGCTTGCCTTTTTATTGCTTCTGTTGCTCTAGTAAACCTATTACATGGAAGTACATATTATATAAAAATAAGTTATATCTAAATTATCAGTTCACATAGATATTGGTATCTATGTGAACTGAGTATTAGTAAACCACTGGTTGTGGTTTAATGTGATCACTTTTGTCTGCTTTCAGCAGCATTTACAGTGTTCAGCCAGTGTTTAGATATGGTAATTTAACAAAAGATTGTTGAGCTCTTCAGTATTTCAATACTCATTTATTGGACTTTAGCAGATACTGGTGACCTGCAAGAAATATAGGGGAAGATTTACTGGAGCACTTAGAATCTGATGCTGCTGTGCTTGGTAGGCAATCAGCTTCTAATTTCAGCTTGTTCAATTAAGCTTTGACAATAAAGCCTGGAAGCTGATTGGTTTCTATGCAGATTTGCACCGTGCAGTTTGAGTAAATACCCCCCCCCCCCCTCAATAATTCTGTAAAAACATTGAGTACTGAGGTGTTTGACTTGTTGACCACTCAGTCATGGCAGTTCTGTGTTGGTGCACACATGGTGGTCCCACACAGGCAGAAAGTGTAGGGGTTATTTTCCAAAAAACTGGAGAGTGCAAAATCTGGAGCAACACTGCAGAGAAACCAACCAGCTTCCATTTTTTGTTTTGTCAAAGCTTAATTGAACAAGCTATTTTTAGAAGCTGATTGGCTACCATACACAGCTGCACCAGATTCTGAGTGCTCCAGTTTTAGTAAATCAAACCCTGTGTTTCTTAAAAGCTAGTGTCATTTATCTGCATGATTCCATTAATTCCTAGTATTTGGCCAGCTGCATTCACATTACTGTTGTTTCAGCTCCTAGCATGACTTCCTCCTCTGTGTGTAAGGCTCATGATAAAAGCATGCAAATTTAAAATAGAATAAAGCCATTCTTTTCATCAGGTTCTGGGTCTGTGGGTCTATTATGTTTGGGAAAAAAGATTCCCTACTACATTCCATTTGTGCAACTTATGTACAACATTACTGTCGCCCTGTTTTTGTAACTCATAGAGAATGGTTGTCAGTAAGTCGTGACCCCTTATTCAAAATAACATCTGTTCTATATGAATCCAAATAAAATATGAATAATAATAATAATAAGTAATATTAATGTACAGTAGCAGCGCACATGTGGATTTCCTGTTCAAGTTTAATGCTTAATTATACATACTGGACCTTCTATGAGTTTCTTTTTCCAGTGGCTTTATTTTGTTTATTTATTACAGGTACTTGTATAGCGCTGTCAATTTACGCAGCGCATTACATAAATATTGTACATTCACATCAGTCTTTACTACATGATACTACGTTTATGTGTTATTCAAGACAGCTAGTTGTTTAACAAGACGTATACTTTTTCGGGAATATTTGCTTAGTTCTATAGTAGATATTATAACAGAAAACAGAATATACATAATCAATTTTTAAATAAAAGGTGTGCCATGTGTTAAAATTCTTTCAGGCTGACTTCACACTTGTGCGTTGCACTAATGGGCAGAAGCATGCATGTTTTACTGTGTTACTTTGTGGTGTGTTGCCATTTATCTTGCTAGCATCTGGCAATCCAGCTGTAGTATGGCATGCTGTGTTTCCAAAATTGCTGCAGGTACTTAAAGGTAGTGCTGCCAGCCCATTCAGAATCAATGGGCTGCCCTAAAGCAGCATGTCTTGATGCTTGAAAACATGTGCCTTACATACATTGAAACATGGGTAAGTGCAGAGGGGCACATAAAATCATCTTCATCTTCACCTCCAATAATATTTGCATTAGTTCAGTGGCTGATTATAATTGTTACAGGGGCGGACTGACAACTCATGGGGCCCCCGGGCTATAGGGGATCATGGGGCCCCTGTGTCCTCGCCCACACTCAAAACAGCTTATGAAAAAGGTACCAGGGGCATCTCATGGGTCCCCATACTGACCCCAGGCCCTCGGGCAGTGCCCGAGTTTCCAAATGGTCAGTCCGCCCCTGAAATGTTATCAGAATGGCTTATTTCATTTTTTGTGTTTCTTCCTAACTAGGACAATGACAATAATCATATTTAGAAATATGTATTCAAATGTTTCATCACCAGTTCATATGTAAGCATAACTGATAGTTTACATTTTTTTGCTGTATAAATGAACGCAAGTTTTTTTTACATGTTATCGGCAATTTTAGGCTAATGTCCATTAACAGGATGACAAACAGCAAGCTGATTATGTGTCGGTTTGATAGTTATCCTAATATTCAGCACCTGTGTATTACTTATACGTTTGCATATAGATCTTGTGAATATTACTGTTTGCTCTTTATATAAGCCATTTAGGGTTACTGATGTTTTGCCTTTTCTTATATGATATGAACCTACAGAGCGTTACTTCAATATTAGTGGTCAGAAGATTTTTTTTTTTTTGTTTCAATATTTTTGTTCTGATTTTGTTAAGATTTACTAGTTATTTGTAATATACATTTTTGGCTCAATTTTAGGTTGAAATAAATGCAGCAAAGACTGAAAAATTGTTCTGTTGTCTTTGCATAATACTAAAAGTTACATTAATATTTTTTGTTAACCACTCTGTAGAGTTTAGATCTGGTCACTAAAATAAAGTCAACTGATGCAATGGTCATTTTCTCAGGAGTCTCTTTATAAAATAAATGCTGGTAAACAGTTTTAACTGTTTTTTTTTAGTGTGACTTACTGTAGCATTCACAATAGTTTTTCTATTGCCCTACTTATTTCAGATATATACTCCAACTCACAAAAAGTTCTAAATTACCACTAATGCCTGTTGCAGCATATTATTACATGGATACTTAAGTGCTTTTATACTGTAGCTTGTGTTGTAAACATGCAAAGGTATTTTATTAGGGGGCAATTCACATCACTGCACTGTGGTAACTCATGATTCATTTGTTAGTGTGCTGCGGTGTCATTTATTTTTAATGATATCTTAATTCTCCTGCACAATACACCTAAATTGTGGTGCGCTACAATGCATGTGTGTTGTGCAGGCGTGTTGTGGTATACTACCCAACCATGGCACCACCTGCCTGTAGTTTGCATGTTCTCCTTGTGCCTGCGTGGGTTTTCTCCGGGTACTCCTGTTTCCTCCCACACTCCAAAGACATACTGGTAGGTTAATTGGCTCCTGTCTAAATTGGTCCTAGTATGTGTATGTATGAATGTGAGTTAGGGGCCTTGGATTGTACACCCTTGAGGGTTAGGGACTGATGTGAATGTACAATATATATGTAAAGCACTGCGTAAATTGACGACACTATTAACTAGTTCCCAACCATGCTATAGTCGAAGGACAGCTACAGCGCAGTTGTCTAGTTCTGGGACGACGTCTATGAACATCACTTCAGAACATGCCCCCAGCGGCGCGCACCCTGCTGCCGCCAGTGATACGGTAAACGGCCAATCACGGCGGCCTTTTACCACATGATCAGCTGTGTCAAATGTGAGGAAAGTACTGCCGAGAACCGGCAATTGTCAGCAAAGGGATCAGCACTGATCATCAGGGCACTGATGATGAGTGCCCAGTAGTGTCACCCAGCAGTGCCACCCACCTGTGCCCATCAGTGCAGCCCACCTGTACCCATCAGTGCCACCAACCTGTGCCCAGCAGTGCCACCCACCTGTGCCCAGCAGTGCCACCCACCTATGCATAGCAGTGCCACCAATATGTGCCCATCAGTGCCACCCACCTGTGCCCTGCAGTGCCACCCATCAGTGGTGCCCAGCAATGCCACCCATCAGTGCTGCCCAGCAGTGCCACCCATCAGTGCTGCCCATCTGTGCCACCTGTCAGTGCAGCATCATCAGTGCCAGCGCATCAGTGCTGCCTATCAGTGCCCATCAGTGCTGCCTATCCATGCCACCTCATCTGTGCCCATCAGTGCTGCCTGTCAGTGCCCATCAGTGCTGCCCCCTCAGTGCTGCCTATCAGTGCAGCCTCATCAACACACATCAGTGAAGGAGAAAAATTACCTGTTTGCAAAATTTTATAATAGAAACAAAGAAAAACTTTTTTTAAAATTTTTTTACTCTTTTTTTGTTTATAGCGCAAGAAATAAAACACCCAGCGGCAAGTAAATACCACCAAAAAAAGCTCTATTGTGTGAAATTTAAAAAAAAAAATTTATATGGATACAATGTTGCATGACCGTGCAATTGTCATTCAAAGTGCGACAGCGCTGAAATATGAAAATTGGCCTGGGCAGGAAGGGGGTATAAGTGCTCAGTAGGCAAATGGTTAGTGTACCTATTAAAGTACCTGTAATAAATAAATAAATAAATACAATACAATACAAAAAATTCTGCAGGTATGATTTTAATTAAGATATGTGCATTAGGCAGCTCATTTAAAAAAGTGAGCTACCTTGCTACAATGCATACTATCACATGTAAAAAGCATGTATTAAACACACCGCAGCTGATTGCCCTTGTACACATGGACAATAAATATTGTATATCAGAGAATACTAGTAGTAGAATTAATTACTTGCTTTGTAGCCTTCCTGTAAAGTACTGGCACAAGCCCAGGTCCTACAACCACTGCTGCACTGCTGTTCCACTTTAGCAGTCATCTTTCTGGAATGCTTTTTGTATACATTAATACTCGGGTGTCCCCTGGAACAAAAAGCAAATTCTACAGGCTAGGCAAGGAAACAGAGCAGAGGGAGAGTGGCCAGAGGGATTCGTCAGCAAGAACTAACAGTTAGTTTCTACACTCCCAATGACAGACCAGAGTGCAGTTGCCCAGGTGGATTTACATACTGTAGATAAATCTGCAACATTAGCCCCTCTCAAGGAGTGGTTCTGTCACATTGACATGTGGAACAGGTAACCTCACTTGCTGCTTTTAGCGTTTTCTTGGACCACATAAGCAGTGCTAGGGTGAGGTTGATAAAACAAAAATAGTTTCGGACTCAATGTACACTTAATCCACCACTAGATCTGGAGAGAGTATTACCTGAGTATTTCGTTTTGTAAAAAACACAGCACAAAAAATATTCAGATTACACGATGTGGGTCCTGGCCTGTAATGTTTGCTTAGGGCACTGGATCTTGCACCAGGAACTCACCTTGGCACGTAGTGCCATTTGTAGTTAGCCGCAGGGTGCTATACAGGTCCAGAGCCATGGTCCATTTCTGTGGTTTCCACACCCTGAAGACCCCTTCAGGAGTATGCCCAACTTGACAAGCAAAGCCTTGAACTCTAGTAGGCCCAACAGCAGGGCCACCGATAAGGGGGTACCACCAGTCCTCCTGTAGAGGGCCCGGACAGCAGGGCTCATACACATGGGTGGCACAGTGGTTTAGTGGTTAGCACATCCGCCTGGCAGTACTAGGGTCGTTGGTTCAAATCCCAGCCACGGCACCACCTGCCTGGAGTTTGCATGTTCTCCCTGTGCCTGCGTGGGTTTCCTCCAGGTACTCCGGTTTCCTCCCACACTCCAAAGACATGCAGGTAGGTTAATTGGATCCTGTCTAAATTGTCCATAGTATGTGTATGTATGAATGTGAGTTAGGGACCTTAGATTGTACACCCCTTGAGGGTTAGGGACTGATGTGAATGTACAATATATATATATATGTAAAGCGCTGCATAAATTGATGGCGCTATATAAGTACCTGAAATAAATAAATGGGTTATTTGGCCCACACACTGCGAATGAGCAGTTTGTGTGACTGGAGTTGTTTGTTTCTTTATGAGGATGCAGCGGCTATAAGAACACAGCCACAGGTTCTAATTTGATAAGTGTGGGTAGTGGCCCCAAATGTTTGTGTTTGGGGCCGTACACCTACATTCATACGCTTGTCAAATTAGGACCTTCGGCTTGGTTTGTACAGCTGTTGTGTCATAGTGTAACATGGGCTGCCTGCACAGTAAAAACCACATTTAAAAAAAACACTGATTCACATTGTTCAGCCTGTAGCACCCTTGTGAATGAGCCCCAAGACCTCATTTACACACAGAGCTTTATTTATTATCTCAATACCGTTTTATCTTTTAGATTTAGCAGGGATTGTGTAAGTTTTGTTATGTTTGTGTCCCCTAGTAATGATTTTACTGTATTTTTAGTAAAAATATTGTTTTGATATTTTCGGGAAGGGGGGGACCTGGGGGCCCTATCTGGTAGTCTGTATGAAGCCCCTTGATTTCTAACAGCAGCCCTGCCCAACATCATGGATAAGGTAAGACAGGGTTTCCCTGTATGTTAACATCGGTTTTAGCTTTCAAAAACACTATGCGCAATGCATAGCACATTATGCATGCAGTTTTAGAGGCAGAGGATTTGGGAGTTATTCACTTTATTGCGCTAGCCCTGCCATTTTGTCTCTATTTCTCAGCAGGTTCATTTTGAAATTGGCCCTTTTTCTCCTCATACAGTGTATAGATTTCGTTTCAGGAGGATGAGTTAACTGCTTCACGCTTTCCAGATGACATATTCCCATCCAACATTTTTGCTGAAAACTCACACAGCATGTTGCTGCACTCCTCCTGCCACCTTTTACAATGACACAGCCACAGGAACACAGTCAGCACCCGGGTTATAGCGGCTTCTGCATCCAAACAAGACTCTAGAATCTTCCTTATCTCTGTGCTTATGCACAGGATTTTGTTTTTTACAGCTTGGTCTGCTGAACCTTCTTGTAAGAAGCATCTTTTACATATGCCTTTTGATGGTGAATGCCTATTTAGGGAATCCCTTGATAAATTTAAGTTACTGGGGAAAAGGTACTCCTTCCCCACAAGAAAAGCCTAAATCTCTTACGGCACCTCCTTTTGTCACAAGTCCTGAAGTCCCAAGTCCACCAAACCTGACCAGAAGCCCTCTTCATAATGAAGGGACGCCCCCACTCTTATGAATGAGGGGGATGTCTTTTGGTGTTTGCACCAGTCTGATTCTGAGACATCCCAGACATCTGGTTCCAATCTGTCACATTAAAGGGGTACAGAATAGAGCTTCTCTCTCTGCCACCTCTTCACATTGTGTATTGAAATCTGCTACAGACCAAAAGAAGGCAGATTTAATTACCGCACTGCACCAGCTTCAGGATCAAGGAGTGGTTGTGCCAGTTCCTTTTAAAGAACAGTTTCAAAGTTTCTAATCAAATCTATTCACAGGCCAATACTGGGCCTAAAATATTTAAACAGATTTATTTGTGCACCAACCAAAATTTCAGATGGAATCAACAAGATCTGTCATTGCTTCACTCAGACAAGGGGAATTTATGGCATCAGTATATATACAAGATGCTTGCCTACACGAGCCCAATCTTCCCTCACATCAGTACTTTCTGCGTTTTGCTGTAGGAGCCTTTCATTTCATTTGTAGCTCTGTCATGCAGATTCTCCTCTGCACCCAAGTGCTCACAAAAGTACTTGCCTAACTTCCTGTTCTTCTATGAACTCAGGGCATTCATGTCACAGGTTACCTGAACGACCTCCTACTGAAGGACCCACAACATTGGGTGGCTAACGTCCAAAAGACAATTCAGTCCCTTTTCCCTATTTTTCAGGATAACTTTTAAAATTCTGCTCTCCATTCCTCACACAGTCTAGACTACCTGGGTTTAATCTTGGACACAGCTCAAGCCAGAATCTTCCTTCCTCAGGAGAAGGTTGCTTTCCTAAAGTCCCACATGAGGACCATCAGTTTAAAAACGGCACCCCTCAGTTCCCTTTTGCATGAGGGTTCTTGCTTCATCGTAGCTTTCTTGAGGCAGTTCTCTTTGCCCGGTTTTATTCCAAACCTCTTCAGTCCAACATGGTCATGATATTGCTTGACCTGGATGGGATGCAGTTTACAATTCCATGACTGACCAGGTGACCTTGTTCCCACATGAGATTAAACATCAACATTCTTGAACTGAAAGCCATCAGATTATCTCTATGATACTGGACTTCCCGTCTGAAAGGTCACCCAGTCAGGGTACAGTGAGACACTGCCACAGCAGTGGCCTACATAAGTCATCTAACAGGGTGCCAGAAGTCAGCCTGCCTCAAGTATTTTGCTCTCCTGTGCAGAAGATCAAATACCAGCTATCTCAGTCTTCCTCATCCCTTGAGTGAAAGGCAAACGTCCTAACCCCTCAATGCCTAGACCTGGGTGTTGGTCCCTGCATCCATTGATCTTTCAAAATCACTAACAAAAGTGGGGGAAACTGGATGTAAACTTCCTGGCCTCCAAGTTCAATGACAAAGCTAGGGATCCAGGCTTCGTTGCAGGCTGTACAAGAGAGAGGAGGGAACAGTTTCAGTGATCATTATTACACTAATCTGGCCCAGAAGAACTTGGTACAGAGACATACTCAGACTTCTAGCAGATGAGCCTTGCCTCCTCCAAACAAACTTACTGGCCCAAGGTCCCCTAGTCCATCCTGCTTCTCAGTTGCTGGCTTAAATGGCATGGCTGTTGAAACCCAAGTCCTAAAGAAAAGGGGTATTTTTGACTCTGTTATTCCCACCTTACTCAGAGCAAGAAAATTCCACTCCCAGAAGATTTAGCATGGCACATGGAGGGCTTATTTTGCCTGGTGTGCGGATTTGTGCTAGCAAGTTCTTCCTTTTTTTTTCTTTTGTACATAGGTACCTATGCTTCCCCCTGTTAAAAATTGTATATATCAATTGAAACGCATTGGGTAATTGTGGCAAAAAAAGCTTGTTGTTAACATATTTGCACACTTACCTCTATATGCCTGAAACCCATGGGTGTATTGTTAGGAATTTATCCAAAAGCAGAATATTTATTTAAAGTTCTTTTAACAATTAATTTATACCCAGAAGTTTGTACGATAAAATTACATTTTTTAAATAAAATAAAATTTGGTTGTGGTTTTGGCCCATGGGAAAAAATATTTTTTTCTAGTTATATGGGGACATGGCAGTCTT